CTGCTGGGCGTGGGGAGGGCCGGGGAGAGGGCGAGCACCGCAAGGCTCCAGCATTAGAAAGGGCGGGGGGGTTCTCCGAAGGGCTTCGGCGACCCGTCCTCCTCCTCCTCCTCCTCCTCCTCCTCATCCTCCTCCTCCTCCTCCTTCTCCTCTTCCTCCTCCTCCTCCTCCTCCTCCTCCTCCTCCTCCTCCTCCTCCTCCTCCTCCTCCTCCTCCTCCTCCTCCTCCTCCCCTCGATCGCCGAGCGCGATGCGACAGTGGCTGCTTGCGCGCTCGGATTTGGCCACCCTGCGCCCCCCCTCCTCCGCGCACGAGACACGAAAGGTCTACTCCTGCCTGGGGCCACTCTTGGGCGTAGCGGACTCTCTTTCAGCGTGCGTCGCAGGACAAAAAAAGGCATGAACAGAAACTTCTGGCGCTCCGCGAGGAATTGGATCCGCGCCGGACACCCCTCCCTGGCGGGCGGAGCGCGCCAGGGCCGGCGCCGGAGGCGCCGCCGGGGTGGGGAAGAGCGCGGATCCAAGAAAGCCAGCGGAGCGCCGAAAGTTTATGTTTATGCCGTTTTTCTTCTTCGAAGCACGCTGAAAGAGAGCCGGCTACGCCCAAGTGGCCCTAGACAAGAGTGACCTTCCGTGCGCGGCCTTTGGGGGGCCGCGGGGGGACCAAACACGAGCGTGCAAGACGCTACTACCGCCTCGCGCTCGGCGATCGGAGGGCCCTAGTGGGCCCGCACGAAAGGTCACTCTAGAGGGCTAGAGGGCTAGAGGGCTAGAGGGCTAGAAGGCTGGAGGGCTAGAGGGCTATGGGCTATAGGGCTACAGGGCTAGAGGTCTAGAGGGCTAGAGGGCTATAGGGCTATAGGGCTAGAGGGCTAGAGGGCTAGAGGGCTAGAGGGCTATAGGGCTATAGGACTATAGGGCTATAGGGCTATAGGGCTATAGGGCTATGGGGCACCCGTGCACCCGAGCACCCAGGCACCCGGGCACCCGGGCGGGCCGCCGAACTCGACGACGCAGCTCCTGGGCACGCGGGCACCCGGGCGCCCAGGCAGACCGCCACCGCCCCAGAGATCCGGCAGCTCGAGAACCAGACCTCCAGCGATGGTCAGTGGGCCCGTCGGTTTGGTCCAAGGCCTCCGCGCCTCCTGGCCTCCCTGGCCCCGGGATCTAACTCCGATCTGGACTGCCGCGGACGCGCTCGAGCCTCCCCTCGGCGCGACTGCACCGCCGCTCCAGTTTTGCGCGCTCTGGGCACTTCTTCCTCCTCCCTCCTCCTCCTCCTCCTCCTCCTCCTCCTCCTCCTCCTCCTCCTCCTCCTCCTCTTCCCTCCTCCTCCTCCTCCTTCTCCTCCTCCTCCTCCTCCTTCGCCTCCTCCTCATCCTCCCCTCCTCCTCTTTCTCCTCCGCCTCCTCCTCCTCGTCCTCCTCCTCCTTTTCCTCTCCTCCTCTCCTCCTCCTCCTCCTCCTCCTCCTCCTCCTCCTCCATCTGCTTCGCCTCCTCCTCCTCCTCCTCCTCCTCCTCCTCCTCCCTGGCCTCGAGGGCTCTCGCTTCCAGGCTGTCAGGCTCATTACCCGTCGAGCGCCGCCGCCGCAGCGCCCCCTGACTGCGGATCTGCCGTACGTTGGTTGATTCTCCGACCTAACATCGACTGTGTCAGAACTGCGCCCAGAAGGATGCAAATGAAGTAGGGCGGATATTACCGCCTTGTTCTGGTTAGGCGGATATTGCCGCGGACATTTCCGCAGAGGCATGGCGGAAACAGCGACGGCAAAGCAGGGCGGAAATCGGCATCAAATGAGCTTGAAAAGAAGAACGTCAATTTCTGCCCGACTTCCGAATCGCCTAGAAAGTACAGCGGGTCCCAAGTCAGGGTCGCCACCAAACCCAGAGATCTAGCGTTAGGTCGGGCGCGTCCCCCTACAGGCGGATTTGGGACGAAAAGAATAAGACAGTCCGAAAAATACTCCCAAATGGTCGTCAATTGGAAAAAATCGTCCTCTGACTATTTTCAACTATTTTTGAGTATACCCTCCAGTAATGGGACAGGCCTGACTTTAATCTGGCGACTCGAAGCCCAGACCTCCAACGCAGTGGAACACCGAAAGCAGGGCCTGCCCGTCGTCTTCGGCGCCCGGGAGTCCTCGCCGGGCCCAGGGACCGTCCAAGAAAAGTAAACCAGGACAAAAATTTGGTCCGAGGGATGTGGTCCAGAGCTCTGGGGAACCCAGGAGGAGGAGGAGGAGGAGGAGAAGAAGGATCAGGAGGAGGAGGAGGAGGAGGTCCTGAAGACATCGAGACATCGGAAGAGGTCTGAGAAGAATATCGCAGAGGAAGTTCCTCCTCCTTCTCTTCTGTCTCCAGAAGGGGGCCCCGCCGGGCTCCGGGGCCGTCAGAAAAGCGGGTCCAGGCGAAAAGCCGGCCCCGGGGAACTGGCCGGGACACTTCCAGGGACCACGTCGCGAAAGGAACCCGAACATCCGACGCCTGTTTTTGCTCCATGCGAGGCACCCCGGAAGTCCAGCCCATAGAGGCCGAAGAGAGCCGAAGACCTCGGTCGTGATTTTCTCAGCAGTGCGAGCACGTCTGGGCACAGGGCATCGGAGGTCTGGGGCCAGGCCTGCACGGGCCCACGCCCTGGAGCGCGTGGCCACCCGGTCAAACGGCCAGGAGCAAGATGCTCTCGGTGGCCCACGAGGTGGGGCTCGGACGGATGGGGTCCTGAGGGCGAGGTGCCTCAAAGGACGAAAATGCCGCCTTGGCTCTCTTCCTACCCTGAGGTCCCCCTCCCCCAGGACCCCAGCTTTGAACCACCGAGGTGCGCGCGCCGAGAGCTGGCCCGAGGAGGGGCCCACGCTGCTGAGGCGTGCGCTTGCCCTCTCCCCCGGGAAAAGGAGCCGTGTTCGGCAGACGAGCGGCAGGCGGAGCAGGCGCTTGCCTCGGGTTGGGTTGCGCGTGGCTCGAGCCAGAGCCGGCACGGACGAACGAAAGACAACGGAAGGATGACGACGACGATGACGATGACGATGGCGTCATCACGTCATCGTCATCGTCATCGCCATCGGTATCGTCGTCATCATCAACATCATCAACATCATGATCATCACCATCACCACCATCGTCACCAGCATTATCATATCGTCATCGTTATCATCACCATGATCATCATCATCAGCATCGCTATCATCATGCTCATCATCAGCACCATCACCATCATCATGAGCAGCATCATCATCATCGGGGATGAAGCAAGGAGGACGGCACGCACGTTGGCATTATTCCACGCCCCGGCGTGCCGCAGGCACGGCGGGGCGGACTATAATGCTGCAGACAACGCGCGGGCTGCTGCGGCTGCTCTCGCGTGCAGTTTCTTGTGGCGGCGCGCCTTGCTCGGGCCTGCTTCGGGAGTGGGAGGGAGGCTGGCTCGGGGGCATCTATCGACAGCAGGGTGGCGAGCAAGGGAGGGAAGTTCAGCGGCTGCGGAGAAGGAGCTCGGGAAGAGAAGCGACGACGATACCCCAGACATCCAACGTCTCGACGCCTTCGAAACGCGGGCCCCCGACCTCCCGACCACTTCCTCGGGACCGGTGTGTCATCCCGCGTCGTTTCTTGACGGTGACGAGGCCCACTGAGGGCCCTCAGAGGCCGAAAACAATTAGCCTGGTCAAAGACCCAACCGTATGCAGTTGAGAGTACCACCGTTGTGAATCTCGTCTGCGGTGGAACTCCCAATGCAGCCAAGAACCGTGTGGGAGGCGCGCCGATGCGTAGCGGAGTACGCAACACGGAAGAAGCCGATTGGTCTGACAACGAGAGTGGGCGAGACTGAGCACGAGTGCGTCTGATTGTGCATGAATCTGCGTGCGAATGAATCTACGTGTATGAATGCCGACGCCCATGTCGGCACGCCCCTCGCGTGGACCGCTTCCTCCCCCTCTTTTTCTCCCTCTTTGCCCGCGACCTCCAGCGTCCCAGGCTGCGGGCACACCGCAGCGCGGAGTCCCCGCGACGAGCGCTGGTCGCCCCGAAAGGGTCCCAGCAACGCACGCGGGTCGTCCGCTGCGCGGAGCAAAGCGAACAAGCTGGCTGGCTGAGAGCGGGAAAGGCTCGGGCCGCCGGGCAGAGCGACGACGGGCGAACGAGGCGCTGGGCAGTGCGCAGCACGGAGTCCCCGCGACGCACGCTGGTCGCCCCGAGAGGGTCCCAGCGACGCGCACGGGTCGTCCGCGGCGCCAGGCCGAATTGTTGGACAGCCTGGATATGGCGCGGCTCGGGCGGGCCGCTCCCCAGGTCAGACCTCGCGGCTAAATTCGGTGAAGCCCAGCTCTCTGGCGAGGGCTGCCGCCTCCCTCCTGCACCGCTTCGTGCGCGACGCGACCTGCTCCAGCTGCGCCACTGGGGCCTTCGGCGGAGTTCCTTATGGGGCCACGAAACGTGTGAGAGGTGTGCCGAAATAGGTGTGCGTGACGCATGCGGGCTGCGCCACTGGGACCTTCGGCGGAGCTCCCTCTGGGGCCACGAAACGTGTGAGGCGTGTGCCGAAATGGGTGTGCGTGACGCATGCGGGCTGCGCCACTGGGGCCTTCGGCGGAGCTCCCTCTGGGGCCACGAAACATGTGAGCGGTGTGCCGAAATGGGTGTGCGTGACGCATGCGGGCTGCCTCACTGGGACCTTCGACGGAGCTCCCTATGGGGCCACGAAACGTGTGAGGAGTGTGCCGAAATTGGTGTGCGTGACGCGACGCATGCGGGTTGCGCCACTGGGACCTTCGGCGGAGCTCCCTCTGGAGCCACGAAACGTGTGAGGCGTGTGCCGAAATAGGTGTGCGTCACGCATGCGGGCTTCGCCACTGGGACCTTCGGCGGAGCTCCCCATGGTGCCACGAAACGTGTGAGGGGTGATGATAGTGGCGATGATGCTGATGATGGGGAGAGGGAGGGGGGGGCACCAGGAGGAGTGAGACGCGGGGCGCTGTCGCTTCAAAACGAGGACCCAACACCACA